CTAGGGAGATGGATAGTAGTGTGTTGTAAGCATTTGAGCAATAGAGAATTGGGACCCAAGTACTGTTCCCGTGTTACTCAAGTTCTTGAGATGATTGACATGTTCTGCGAGGCCTAGATAGTAAAAAATGGAGTAAGTGGTAGCCAGAGAGAATCAGTGCAAACAAACTAAGTAAGTATGAACAAATTTGTACATATGGGTTCAGAATAACTAGAAACCCATAAAAATATATCTACCCTGCCTTAAAAACTAGAACATGCACTGAAAATCTTAGAAGCCCGTTGTGTACCTCTCTTGTGATCTCATTTGTTTCACAGCTATATAGTATCTCATTGTATGAATTATACCATAAATTTGTTCATCCTATTGTTAAAGGATATTTGGTTTCCAGTTTTTCGTTTTTTACTAAATCAAAGCACTAACATTATTAATATTCTTGTAGATGTCTTGATATTAAGTGCAAACCAGTTTCTTCTACAGCAATGGTTCTGAAGTAAAAGTGGTTCCCAGAGCATCAGCATCAGCATCCTTGGGACTTCTTTGAAATGCAAATTCTCAAACCTACCCAGACGTACTGAATTCAAAACTCTGGGTGAAAGCCCAGCAATCTATTTACAGAACTCACAGTGTGATCTGATGCACACGAAATTGAGACACTGTTTAAGATAATGTGACCATAGAATGGAATTGCTGGATCATAGATATATAAACATGTTCGCTTTTTGAGAAGCACTAGCATTTCCCAAAGTGTTTATATTAGTTTATGTCTCTATCGACACTAAGTGAGCACCCCAATGCTCCCCATCCTCTTCCTGTGCTGGGTTATATATCTATGTTTTAGTATTGCAAAACATAATTTGATATTATTTTCCTTGTGGCCTCGCAGTTTGCATTTCCTGATTATTAATGCTTGAGCATCTTTTTGTATATTTACAAGCCACTAATATTTTCTCTCGTATAATGCCTATTGTTGTTCTTTGCACACCTTCTGTATTGGATGTCAAATTGATTTATATATTCCCTGTACTTAATCCTTGTGATTTTTTATTGTGCCGTATACAAGTTTTATCTTTGTTTTTTATCTATGGTCTTTTGCTGAATGGATAGTTCTTAATTTCAATGTCATGAATTTATTCAATTTTTTTATGGTAATTCCCTTTTGTTTTTTAAGAGGGTTTTAGCCCTCCTAAAAAGTCATAAGGACATTGTTCCCTCTTAATTGTTTTATGGAAG